CGGCTGTGCGGTGGCCAGGGCAGCGGACTGGCTCCACGGCCGGCGCCTCCTCACCCGCCCTCTTCCGTCCCGCCCCCCAAAATAAGGTCATTTTCTATGCGATTCATCAGAATTGCAAACTATCGCTAAATTCTCTCCTGCACCAGCCGACTGTCTGGAGACGGCTTTCACTTTCTCCCTTTTCAGGGAGGAGGATTAGCCAACTTCAAATCACTGCACTTGCATTGAGCTGTTAAGACAAAGGATTTAGGGGGATTTTCAAGATACAAACTTCAACACTTCACATGACACCAATCGATTCTTCCTTCTCTCTCTTTTTAAAAAAAGCTGTAATGATTTTGAAATAATACCCAACAAAGAAAAGTCAGGGGAAGGGGTGGGGAGAGAAAGCTCCCACTTCCTGGTGGCCGTGCACATCCCCTGGGGCAGTTCCCCAACAGCTGTCACGATCGTCAGGAGGACACGCTGGAACGAACGTTCCAGAAAAGCGCCCTCTAAACTGTCGGCAGGACACCGCCATAGAAGCAGCTGGGACCGGGGGTGAGAGCCCTGGAGGACGCCCCCTGGACACTGGGCACCTGTCCCAGAGGGGCTGGGCGGCGCGCACACTCACTCTGCACAGCCTCAATCTTGTAGGGGATGTTGAGGCTGCCCAGCGAGGCCAGCGCCCCCAGGAAGGCAGCCACGTCGGTGGCACTCTGGAAGCACTGGGAGGACAGCTGCACACACTGCCGGTTGTCTATCTCCAGGTAGACGATGGATCTGCAGACGCAAGCACCTGGGCTGGGACCAGCAGCCTTGTCCCTTGCCACCAGCGGGGGACTGTCCCCCACCTCCCAACCATCCTGGCAGACGGGTCTGACAGCAACCGCAGGAGGCACGGTGTCCTGTGGCCCAAGCCAGGAAGCCCCGGTGCCGCCCGTGGGCACGCTGCAGGTGCTCATCATGGACCCCTGAGTGTGGTGCTGCACGGGCCCCGTCCCAGCCCTGCTGGGCTCCCCTGGGTGTCCAGAACACCTACTTTCCTCACCTGAGGAGCCCACACCCTCGCAGGGAGGCGCAGCAGGGATGGAAGCCCTCAGAACTCCCAGGGGACGGGAAGGAGGTGGCAGGCTCAGAACATGGGGGCGCAGGCCACACACCAGCCAGGACCCTGTGCCTGGGCCAGCCGCCCTACCACAGGGATCAACCTGGGCTCCGTGACAGACGTCCCTTGCCAGCAAAGCCACGGCTGGCAAACTGCTGGCACCAGGGCACACCAAGCTGCTCCAGCCTGGCTCCGTGGCCCAGCCTCCCCAAATCAGATATGCTACGTCGGTGTGGGAGCTAGTGGCACCCCCACATATGGGACGAGGGTGACAGGCTGCTGTGTTATGTGAGACTGGCGCTGCCGGCCCTACACCTCAGCTGTGTGGGACCTGAATGCCCAGGTCCTCCCGGACTATCCCTCCCCTGTACCACGAAGTGGGGCGGCCGGAGGGTCAGGCAGAGCTGGCCAGGGCGGGCGTGCATGTCCCTGTGCACCAGGACTCACCCACGGATGTCCATGGGGTCCAGCTCTCTGCGCCGGCGCCCGCGGCCCCCGCTGGGGAGCAGCG